TTTTCAAAAATAAAAAACTCAAAATGCACTGTTCCAAATTATTATGCACAGCAGATTTTCTAAACATTTTATGGATGATAAAGAACTGCGAACGGTCATTCTTCGAATGTGCAGCGATAAGTGGTCACATGTACGAAAATTGAAAGCTATCTCAATCAAAAACATCTTAACAGACCGAGTTACATGTTGACATAGAACCCCTTCTTTGACATCACCTGCACAATTCTTGCATCCATTGAACTTCTGAGTTTGTGAATCGTTTCTGCTTGAATTTCTTTGCAGGATGTCAGAAAATCTTCCCAGAGATGCTGCTTTGATATTTACTGCATTCTACCCCCAGATCTCCTTCTTGAGGAAACTCCAAAAGTTCTCAATAGGGTTGAGGTCAGAGCAGAATGGTGACCACACCATGGGTTTCTCCCTTTTAATGCCCATAGCAGCCAATGACACGGTGGTATTCCTACCAGCATGAGATGGTGCATTGTCATGCATAAAGATGATTTTGATACTGATGGTGCAGCTCTTCTTTTTGAACCATGAAAGAAAGTGATGAGTCTGAAAGTTTATATATTTTGCTGAGGGGACTCTGAAGGGGCCGACCAGCTCTCCCTCTCTATCTCCCCATTATTTCAGTCCAAATAATGACTCCACCACCTCCTTGTTGATGTCACAACCGTGTTGGGATGTGGTGGCCATCCACCACCAATCCACTACTGCGTCCATCTGGACCATCCAGGGTTGCACAGCAGTTATCAGTGAACAAGTCTGTTTGAAAATGAATCTTCATGTACGGCTGGGCCCACTGCCACCGTTTCTACCCATAGGGAGAAGACTGAACTGAGTGAGAAAATCTGCCAAGACATTTTTGGCTTTGGATAATATTCAGGACTTATATAGTCCACAATGCCATTCAGTTGAATCCCAAAATTTTTTCCACATTCCTTTATAAGATCCTGTAAGTGATTTTTTTGTTTGTTTGTTTTTTAATTCAATAACCCAAACCAGCAAAGAAATTAGAAAGTAAGGACAGATTCAATGAAATACTGGATTCCATGTCAGTCCTTATTTTTACACCCTTTCAAGCTGGACAGGAGTTAAACCTGACTCTGTACTGTATTTCATAATAATGCTGGGCAATTCAAATTTTTCTTTTCACGTCTTTCCGGGACACATAAAACAAAGTCACGCGTCCCATGGTTAAATCATTTATTCCTCTCAATAATGGCCTTCCTCACTGCTTCCTAGAATTGTGGTTTGTTGTTTGGGAATTTACTATAAAATCTGTTGGCTAGCAAATCCTCGCAGAAGATGACGCAGGCGGACATGGTTTTAGTTAAACTCTTTTGATTTTTACAAGCAGTTTTAAAAACTGCTTGTAAGTTTTTAAAACTTACAAGCAGTTTTAAAAATGCTGTGCTTTATAATGTTTTAAGTTAAAAAGTGGCAAAAACAACTAGTTTTATGAATGTGCACATCCTGGATGTTTTCTTGAGGCACTTTCTAATTTGATTTCACCATGTGTCAATTTGAATTTAAGTAACCATAAATAAAGTTTAGTCTTGTTAGTACAGTAAAGTACTCCTGATATTTGCTAATTTGCAATCTTTAGACCAGAGTTTGCACATAGGGTAAAATGATCAGGAAAAGGTCCACAGCATTATATACATCACAGCATTGTGAAGTAAATCACCCGTAATTGGAAAATTACCGAACAGGGACATAAGAAAAACTGGGGAATCTGGAGACGGAGGCTTCCAAGAGGCTCACAGCAACTCTGAGGGAGCTGCAATACTTTCCAGAAGCTGCTGCTTCTGTTCAGCATGTGATAATGTGGTGTATTCTCTACATGCCTGGACTAAGGAAAAGCTTTGTGAGACAGAACCTTTTGAGACGGGAAACATCCAAGCCAGGTGGAAATCTATCAAAACTTTGTGGCAGAATGTGTTATGGTCTCATTTAACCAAACTTGAATGTTTGGGCCAAAGCTTCAAGTGATTACTTTGGCAATGAAACAATTCAACACATGGTAGACTGCATTTTTTGGTAAGACTATATATATATTGAAAAATTATGGTGGCTGTATTTTACTTTGTGTTCACTTATTTTCAGATGAAGTTTATTTTGGCCATTAGTATCAATTACTATCAATTAATATTCTTAGTTATGACATAACTAAGAATAGTTATGTCATTCTTAGTAAAATCAAATGTACAAGTGTGGACCTAAGAGGAGAAGTGAGCAGCACAGACGCTGGCGTGGCAGTTGCTACGGCACAGTGAATGAGAGAAGGAGTCGCAGAATGTACAAGACAAGTTGGCAGAGAGAGCGGCGTTTGTTTAGTCCTTCATAAGCTTTTAATCTTCGAAGTAAATAAAGTGCTATATCAATAACTTTATTTATATAGCACCTTTCAGCCAAAGACAATTACAGTGCTTGTACAAGAAAGTTAAAAACAACATACAACAAGAAAATAGTAATAAAAAATAAAGTAATCATATTAATAATAAAAGATCAAGCAGAATAAAAATGACAAAGTAAACATAAAAATTTCGAATGTAGTGAATGAGAAGAATTAATATGGAACGTATGGGTGGATTTAACATGGGGCCATCCAGGGTTATTTAACATGGGGACATATAGGTGGATTTAACATAAGGACAAATGGGAGCACTTAATATGAGACATATTTCAATCACTTTTGAAACCAGGTTCCAGGGTGTCTAAATTTGAGAACACTGGTTTCATGTTTCCCTGTTGGCTATTCAAGCTGTGTCTTGCCACCAACTGGAACGGCGTACCTTCTACAGCAATTTATTTTATTTTTTTCGTTCTGCTGCATCTTGTCGTGGGGATGCACATTTGTCTTTAATCTTTTACAAAAAAATTGCCATGCTCATCTCCATGAGCACAGGGACTCAGTTTGAGAATTATAGTCTAAGTGATTGTGGATCTGATGTCAGCCTTGAACGTAGCTGTGAGTGGCTGAAGGTTATGACATGAAAACAAAAATGAAATCACGTTCCTCACAAAACGCCAAGGTTAGTCAACACACAGTCCAGCAGCTATACCCGGAGAGATTGTCAGGAACAAAATTGTGAGCAGTCTACAGATACACAAAAGATGAGGACTAATCAGTAATCCCCACAGGCATTTTGAAAACTACGGGAGAATACGGATTGTGTTGACTGCCCAACTCTTACACAAACAGTGTCATTGCCAGGCTAGCACTCTCAAAGTTGGACTGAGTCTTCTCACTTCCACACTTGCGTGTCCTTTCCAAGGAAGGCTGAGTATCAAGAGTGATCCCCTGATCGTCAGAACGCAGTAAAGCAATCTACCTCTTTACTGGTAGTGATCATATTAGGAACAACCTAATGGTCGTTTTTTTCAAAGACTTGATCGTTTTCTTCACCTCCATCTGCAGTTCCCCACTCAAAACAGAAATAGTCTGGGTTTAACTCTGCTTCTCTTTTTGACAAACTGAATAGTCTTCATTAGCCATTTTTAAATCCTGCAACTATAGTAACCATGGTACTTTTGATTGCCTTGAATCTCTTACCTGTCAGCTGCTTGTGGAGCCAAACAATAAAGGCTCTATTTTTCAACTTGATTGCTCTCAGCAAAGTTTGCGTCACAGCAACAACATTGTCACTGGCTGTTGCAACAAGAACCAGTGACCTACTGGCTGCAACCCATTCAAGCCTTAACTGCAGATGAGACCCTGAATGTGGTCAATTGAGATTTCATGTTCCTAACTTTCCTTGTGTGTAGTAAAGCCTTTCCCGGAGGCGTGAGTTAAAGACCCCCACACATCAGATGCTCCCATGGCTACTCATTCTAAGATATCAAGTCTCTTTGGTGGATGTGGTAAATGCCCAAAACAAAAAATGTTGGGAAGAATGTCTGCCTTCAGAAATGAATAAATCTGAATTCAGTTTTGTTTTGAAGTTGAAGATATGATGCAACTCAGGTCAGGAAGCCAGTTACATCATTTAAAACAAACACTGGTTTTACAAAAACAAGGCAACACTTTAATTTATGCTTTAGACCTGACCTCGCAAATAAAAACTGTTATTTATCAATGCAAGGAAAAAGAGGAATGGAAAGAATCAAAATAACCTACACCTTATGCTGAGTGTCATTACATTATGCATTTGCTTCAGCAAAGATGAGCATGCCGTTCTCACTGCACAGCGAAGCAGCTAATAAAAAAATTTCAAAGCCAGTGTGGCCTCAATTGTCAGAATAAGTAGAAACATATCTCAAATTGAACACAGCCTGACCTAAAATACAACCACATTTTTTTCGTCCCTTTAAAGAATGAGCTAAAAACAAAAACTAAGCAGCAGGAGCATCATTACTGGAGATCATCTTCCAAATATATTCTAAATGACAAGACATTTCTGAGATTGGTTGAGAGAAAACTTCCATCAGTTTGGCTAACAGCAGACAGCAAAGCACTCCTCACATTTGGAGACTATAAAAATATTGTTTGTCTGTTCTCCTTTAACCACCCGGGATGTTTACTAAAACACCTCAAATTCCAAAAAATGGGCACACATACACCAAGTGCATTCATCACAAACCTTGTATCAAATGTTAAGGAATTTTGCCTAAGAATGTCCTTGCCACTGAATTAAACCAGAGTTTTAGAGAGGACACAAAGGCAGAAAGACAGAATAAAATGTGTGGTAGAGACCGAGAGAGAGAAAAGTTTTCACAGAAACTTCCCACTTTTTATTTTCCTCTTGTGGTGAGCCGAGTGTATTTTTGCAGCTTCCTCTTCTAACCCCCCAAACAGGAGTACCGTAAAAGGGAGGGAGAAAATAAAAGAGGGAAGGGTGGCTGGGTGATTATGAGCAAAGGCGTTGTGTGTGGATGTGTGTGTGTGTGTGTGTGTTGTTATATGCATGTAGAGACGCACGCCTCTCTCTCCTTTATTCCCTCTCTGCTCTTTAAGGGCTTTACCACTACAACCAACATCCCAAAGCAGGCCACTCACCACATTACCTCTGCTCTTTTGTCTCCTCCAAGACCAGTGCCTGGACTCCAGCGGCTTCAAAAGGACTTCTCTGGAGGCAAGCAACTTTTTAGAAGAGTGATTAATGTTTGGCGTTTGCTCTTGGCGTTCCGGCCAGAGATACATGTGCTGGGCTCAGCGTTGGAGCTGCTATACGGCGTAATCCTCTGTTTCCTGTGTGTATGTTTTCTGTCTGCTTTCACACAAAACAGCAGGAGGATAAACTTACCCCAAGAAGACTCTGGATGCAAACGCAAACAGTAGGACCGGCCAGATCAGGAGAAGTGAAAGTTTTAAACCAGACTGGAGAATCGGGAGTTGAAACCAGAAGAAAGTCAAGCAGAAGACTTGATTCTACAGAAGCACAGAAGGAAATTTCACTAAAAGAACACACGGAAGGGAAACCTTACTAAGCCACCCTAAGTCAGTGGTGAAGGCTCCTTCTCCCCTCACTCCCTCCCTACTTTCCTTCTCCCTCCTCTCGCTGCAACATGGGCCACCTCCTCTCTCTTACTCTCATCTACCTGGCCTACCTGCTGACCACAGGGATCGCCTCCCAGCGTCAGCAGCACCGCGTGCAGCACGGCCCTTGCACCTACACCTTCATTCTCCCAGAGGTTGAGCATTGCAAGCCCCTAAAGGATTTCCAGGTGACAAACACGCTGCAGAGAGACTCGCCACCTCAGACCGAGACAGACAAAAGTCGTTCCAAGGACAGTTTAGCAGAAGAGGAAAAGCCTTCGTGGCAGCAGCAAAAGTTAGAGACTCTGGAGAGCGCCATGGAGAATAACACTCAATGGCTGCAGAAGGTAAGACCACAGAAACTTTAATAGACGGGAACCATCTTGAAGGATATATAATGAACCTATTGTTTTCAGATACATCACAGATACTGGCATTGTCTTTTTGGTAGATATTTTAAGGTGTGTTTTCTTGTGATACTTTTCAGACCTGTCATAATAAGAGGCAGCAGTACGTCAGGTAAAACTACCCATGACTAAAGTCCGGTAGTCTGTTGTGTGTCTGTGCCCTTCAATTCAACTCTTTCATGTGTGTCAATTGACACAATTTCCTTCTCCTTTTTCTTCTTCTTTCCTATTTTATTTTATTTTTTTCATTCTATATGCCTCACTGAGTCCTGCAGCTTTTCATACCAAAGATTGTAAATCAAAGCAGAGGACCTCCCCAGAGTGCACTATCTTATTACATTTGTTGACAGACCTGTATTATTGATAAGGATTGGATTTCCTGGATGCTTCCTGTCTTCACAGTTGGCTCCATCACAATGCTTGGCGTATCAGTGGGTCTCAGTATTTAAAACCCCATAAGTCATAACTTCCTTTGCATGCAGCAGCAGTCTGAAAGTATGGAGTTCTGCCAATAATGTCTCGCACAGTTAAACCCTCTAAATGAGGCAACAAGTAAACAGACCATTTTTTTTCCTAGTCTGCTTATAAGCCAAAGTCAGCCGAAATCTTTCCAAACGTAATTTACATGACACTGGGACATGTCGGCTGTTTATCTGGAAGAGACACATTTGAGTAGGTCTCCTTACAAGACATTTGGCCTTTGCGGTTCTGTTTAGCTCCGATTATGGCCGAATAAACTGAAATGATTCAATTAGAAAAGGCTTCACGATGGAGTCTGCACAGCTGAAGTCACAGAAAAAGTATTTGCTTGTTGTGGATCATATTGACAGAGAGGCCACTGCTTCCCACTCATGTCTCTATTTTGGTCTGGACCCTTTGCAGAACATACTGTTTATGGGGCGCACCAACTTCCTGAATAATTGTAAATGTTTGTGTGCTAATTTGTTGAGTTACACTGTCAATGGGCAATTATAATGACTTTATTAAAGCATTTCAAATCGAGAAGGTGAAACAATAAATGTGGAAAGTTGGCAGACTCGGGGGAGCTGATTAACAATTAATTTTCAAAAATATCAGTTTTTTTAATATATTTTAAAAGCTTTGTATCACTTTTCATCCATACTTTACAGGTTCGCTCTGTGCAATACTGGTTAATCACAGAAAACCTCACATGTTTGTCACTGTACATTGTGTTCTATTGTAAGACGTGGAACACATAAGATCTTATGAAGATTTTGCAAGGCAACGCAATTTTAATTTTACAATCAACCAAACAAAACTACATTCTGAAAATGGCATTTTTGCAAGCCGAAATGGAATTTTCACAATAAACTAGTTCTGTGCAAACTTCTCTGACCAGTAGCTCATTTTTTCTTCACATACATAAAAGTGAACGCAATGTGAAAAGGTGTTATTTGTAAACGTCAACAAAAAGCTGTGTAAAATTTTCCTTCCACTTCACATCATGGTCTATTCTGTGTTGGACTAACTTATAAAACACCAATAAAATACATTGAAGTGTATCTTTGTCATATGGCAAAATGTAAAAAATAAAATAAATAAAATAAAATAAATAAAATAAATTAAAAAAAAAAGCTTAAGGGATGTGAACACACTGCTTCGCAAGTTATTGTACTGTTCTGCTTACATCGTCTCTGCTGCTAAGTTTAAAGGCTTAGCTTTCAGAAAATATACCCTGTAGCCATAAGCATGCAGTAAGAAAATCATTATGCCACAAAAAAAAAAAAACAGAAAATCATATATCACATTCATTATAGAAACATTGCATGGCAGTGTGTCATTTTGCTATTTCCCAGTTTAATTCTATTTCTCATTATTGTGGCTTAAACAACAACAAAACAAGAATAAATATAAAATAATTTGAGCATCTATGATGGAAATATAACCGCCCCCAACCCCTCCACCCCTCACAACCAGAGAAAAGAAAAAGCACTGCTGACATATGATGCTCTGCAGCCAACTTCCACATAACATCTGGAATGAACACGAGGATTCAAGCCCATCAACAAGTTTCTCCCACCAGGCCAAAGCGATGCATAAATGATCGCACGTAAGGTGGGATTTCCACATAAACATTGCATGACCCCTAAGAGACTCTTTTAGTTATGCACGAGAGTATTCTGACTTTTGACCCCAGACGGCAAAGCCTTTTCAGCACCTCGTGAGGCTCATTAAGCTTATCTGCAAGAGAGCCTGGAGAAAACTGGATAAAATGGATGTGGAAGGGCTTCATCTATGCGTGTGTGGGGGTGTGTGTGGGTGTCTCCATGAAACTTTGCACGGTCTCACTCAAAGCTCCCCCGGGGGCCACTACGACCCCTCTCTGTGAGCGTTCTACCCGAGCCCCTTGAAAGGAAACATACCCCCACACATGCAAAATTAAGAGCGCCCACACTAATCCGCCATGTTCTGCAGAGAAATCTCTATGGACTGTATTAATGCTCCAGATTCTTTCTCTTGTATTTCCAAGAAGAGACCCACGTCCGTTTTCTTTAGGGCTAAACCCCAACACACCACCCCCTCATCGTGTCCCTTTGGCCTTCTGCGGCCCTCAAGGGTCAGAGAATGGAATGCGAGTCAGTGTTTGTTGGTGTTTTTTAAGAGGCTGTGTGGATTATGCTATTTTAGAAATTCTCCAACGAGATCAAAGTGTCTTGAAGAGAATTTGCAACTTGGGTATTTGGCCTGTCAACATTGGAGTTTGCCATCAGCTGACACCGTAAATTAATAGTTTAAAGAAATACTATCACCAGGTGCCCAAGATTAGAACTAATTACAACACTTCGACGAGAAAGCAAAAACAATCTTATCTTCACAAATTAGTTCACGTTTTGTCGAATACATACAGTGTGACATCTGATCAAATGCAAAAAACAAAAATTGAAAATATTTATTTCTTTTATTATTTGAAGGAAGCTTTTATATCAATGTTTTTCAAATGAAACTTTATTTTCCCCCATTCAATTCCCTTATGATACATATTTTCCCTCGTTTCGTGGTGATTCAGAACAGCTTACAGTTGGTTTGCAAGCTATTCATGCAGGATCTAAAGACGAAGACATTTGCCCCGAGGTTCTAAATGTCTAAATTTTGTTAACCAAAAGAAATTCAAAGAAAGACTGTGTGCATTCGCGCTGAAAGCTCAGTAAAAGATTTATTAAAAATGAGTAATTTGACCGACTGAGTCTTAGCATTTTTCATTTTGTGTTCAGATGCAGTTTAGAAAAACCAAAACAAACCGCAAACAAGTTTAACAACTTGCTGTGGCCTTATAATTATATCCTATTGCAAGAGGAAAGCATTACAAGGGATTTAAAAGTGGTATAGTCTTGTTATTGTTGTTACTAGCTGTTTGCAATGATCCTGTCCTTCATGTGTTTAAATAAGTGAATTACTAAAATTGTTATTTAATATTCTGGTTAAGAAATCCTATCCTGATGTTTATACTAATTTCCTACTTTGAGCCACGAAGCCAAGGGAATAATTGTAAAGTCTTTAACATTTTTTTTTTAAGTGGGGTTTTATGTAAAACAAATTTTGAGCGTTATATAATGTCAGAACTTGTTCTAAAGTGCAGGAAAATATAGGAGCTTCTGAAAGAGATTGAAGCCCAATTTCAAGATGACAAATTACAAAGCCATTTTTCTTTTAGATTTTATTTCATGTATTTCACAACTGAGGGCAACAGCAGTGTGTCAGGATGTTTGCAGATGTCGTGACTGCGTCTTGTTCTGGAAGTCTGAGGTGATCAGTGTGAGCTAAGATATTTGGGGCAGAGTGCACTGTGGTGCTCCTGTACTGTTGACTACCTGGTTGGACACCTGACCCTTCAGTCTCACAAACTGTGATCCATTTGTCATTGTTGAGGCCTTCACTTGCGTCTTCTGCAGATCTTGACAAAACAGTCCCTAAGGACTGATGAGTGGATTTTCTTTGGTACCGAAACAAAGAAAGGCGTCTTCTGCTGGGCCAGGCTAAAGCCGAAGAGCTGCTGCAGTATCCCATAGTTTCAGTCTCTCCAGCTGCCTTTTTCATTTGACTTTTGCAAACAGACAGGGAGGAGGGGGAGGCAAAGGAAAGACCACCATCTCCCGATTTGGTTGAACACAAACGTATAAAGGCAGAAAGGTCCATGGCCGAGGTGGAAGACGAAACAAACAAATGTCTGCATGACTGGGAGAGGAAAGGAGGATGCTGAGCTTGTTCCTGAACTGAACCTACTAAAGAATTTGTTCAGTTCGTTGCCTCTGTTCAGACTTCCATAAGTAAGATCCTTCTTTCTGTTGAAGCATTTCACCTTTTTGTTCCTCTCCATACATTTCTGATATTGTTCTGATATTTACAATTTTGGTAGGAATGTGTTTGTGACATACAGTCCTGATGGTGATTAACAAGATTTTAAAAATAGATGAACTAAAAAAAGCAAGGTAATAACAAAGTTATAATAAAAACATTGCCACAACATTTAGCAAATGCAAGCTACCATAATTCACCAAATGATTGTAGGGGGCTTTCGAGGGAGATATAAAAACTTTAGGAGAATGAGCATGCACTTTTTGTTTAGTTTTTGATGAAATTGCCAAACCTGGGTAGAAATAATAAAAAATCAATGCATTAAATCAGCATTTTTCAGTGGTGCCGGTCACTATAATGCGTCTCTCTATCAGTGACATGTGGTCAGGGGAGGCAAGTGAGGTAGAGTCTCACCTGTCATAATGGAAAAATACGATGAAAAAAAATTATATTGCTGTTTTCGTCCTGTAGTTTGTACTGTGAAGTATTTATTTTTTTTATTTAGCTTAACTAATTTTGATGTTTTTTTTTCTTCAAAGTTGCTGAATTTTTGCATTTCCCCATTCAAATGCTCTAAAGCGAAGCCGGTGAGGCAGCAAAGAGCTGAGCCTCATCTGGGTTTGCTCAACCTCTCGCTAACTGTACTTACTGCCACTGTATGGGAGCATGTTCCTACTGTCTGTATGTCACCAATAAAATAGTTACAAAAATTAAATTATGATTTTTCATAATTTAGTTTATGTATATAATGTGCAGTGCTTTTTTTCATCAGCTGTGTGTGTTCGTGTGCTGAGGAGCGATTATAAACGGCAGAGAAGAGATTCGAGGTGAAGCAGGCAGTTCTCTTGCCTCATGGCAGGGGGCGCTCATGATCCCAGACATTGTGAGTCCACAACTGCAGAGTAAGAGACAGTAATGGCGAGCTAGCCATGGAGCTAGTCTTACAATTAAGTGCAGCGATATATTTATAGTTTTCTCCTCGTACCAGATTGAATGTTCTGCTTTTTGTGTGGGAAATATTTGAGTGTTTTTTTTTGTTTTGTTTTTTACGGGCTTTGTTGTCAGTTGCTGTGGCAACGAGTCTGCGCGCGTGGCGGTGAGAAAGACGTGGTTTTGAGTTGTACTTCAACGTTTTTTCCCTTTGCTGTGGAGCACAGCATGAAGTCAGTTATACCCCAATTTTAAAGTTTTAATTTTAAAACTTCGAAGCTTTAATTTCTTAAAGAATACTAATTCCGTTAGCTCAATGCAGCGCGGCTATGGATGGCATACAAAAACATATATATACATATTGTTGCCCTCCAGCTAGTCCGCATGCGCAAAATTTTCTTACGTAAACATGCAGGTGGTCTACATTTATATATCGATTTAGGATTAAGTCAGCGCCTCACCAGCATCGCACGTCACTGCTCCCCGTCAATCACTGTCAAATATTATGACACCCGGTAGATATGTTTCCGTCTTTTGTAATTATAGCAGATAGAGAGTGCAGCTGTCGGCTCGGTAATTAAGATATCTCATGATCCAGCTCCAAAGATTTTTTTTCCCAGCGCTGATCCCTCTTCTGACCCTGTTAGACACGGTAAAAAAATGAATTACATTACATCCCAGAAGAGCTTTATCTGGCCACGTAGTGCGGCCTGTGACACAGCTCCAGTTAACGCAATTGGCAAAGGGTGGGGATGAAGCCTATCAAGACCTCCGGATTGAGTTCCAGCACAAAGGCAGCGATGCAGGGACTTGGACGAGCCGCTGATAGCGGCTTGATTTCGTAAGGCTGATCACAATGCAGGGATTTTGGGGTTTCCAGTGGAGATGGCTTTAATCCACTAAGTAATCTCTTTAGATCCTTTGTTGTGAAAAGATTCTTTTTCCCCACTGCAGTCTAAGTTATCCTAAACTAGTGTAAAGTAAGACGTGATTACAGGGCAAGAGCAAAGAGGGACACTTTAAAATGAAGTGAATGTTTAAAAGAGGATCTAATTGAGAAAGAGAGGCAAAACAACACTAGGCAGAGTTAAATATGAGATATCTCTATTTGTCCACTTGCTTCAGTTTCTCTTTCCATTACATAAACAGAAAAATAAATAAATAGATAAAATCCATTGCAGTCTCATATTTTATAATAACCCGATTTCTCTAGATGTTTAAAATAACAGCAAGCAAATAATTGTTTCCTCATTTGAATTCTACTCAAATTTTGTGGACAAAAACTCATTAGCCGGATGATATTGAGTGCTTTCTCCTTCGAGATCTCATTTTCCAGTGTGCGGTTTAATGAGTAAAATATGATCCCTTTTCCCCTCAAAAGAGCTATAAATATTAATGCTCTCCAGTTGGATAGTGTACTTTGCTCTGTTGCAAACAAAATTGTGTCTTTTCCTGCTACTGGAGTTTGACTTCACTGTGACGTTGAACACGCTGACCACGTTTCTTTTAGAAGTTCCATTCACTTTTGTTAGATTCAACTGTATTAAATGAGTTTCTTTCTCTTTCTAAGAGTGAAATGTGATGAGAAGTTATGCTTTTGGCTTCTTTTTTTCCTCAGAATAAGAGTGTCCTATTAATAAACGCCATGCTTTAATCTACTATTTTCTTCAACATTATTCCACCATTTATTTAGATAAGAGTCCCCAAAACGTGCAATGGCTTTTTTAACTTTAACTTTTTCATCTGTTGTCTTTTGGGGCATCCTACCATATGTTCATTTGCCCCATTTTTAAGTCTTTAACAGTTTTAACAAGTTTTTGGACTTTGCTGTGTTTAGCTTGTTCCTTCAGTTATGATATACCTCTTTGTCTTTACTGAACAACAACATGTCCACAGCTTGGACCACCATGTTTCACCATGTTTCAGTGTTTAATTTTCTGAAACGCATTGCTTTTTACGTGTTGGCCAAAAGGTTTGATTTTACTGTCATTTGACTAGACGACCTACTTTTTCACATTTACTTTGCCCCCAACTTGGCTTCTTCGACTTTTATTATGTATATTTTTACAACTTTCCTCCAACAACAAGTTTTCTTTGTGGTACTTTTTCCACAAAGGTAAAATTTGTGAAGTTCGTGACCAAAAGTTCCGCGATCAGCAAACTCTTCCAACTGAGATGTTGATCTTGGCAGCTCCTTCAGAGTTGCCATCATCATGTTAGCTTCTTTCCTGATTAGCGCCCCCCATCTCATTTAGCTTAGTAGCCGTCTCTCAAAAGATTTGCAGATGGGAAAACATCTCCACACTTTTATCCCTGACTTTTTCTATGTGTTCTTTGGTCTTTATGATGCAAACCTTCAAGGGCTTCTGAGTATTTATTCTGATGTCCTTGCTTGGAATGTGACAAAACGTGAAAATATTCAAGCAATATTAATACTTTTCTCTACTGCTATGAGACAGCTGTTTAGTTCCTTAATAACCTCTACATTTTTAGTAAAACCACATTATTTTGTCTTAATAGCTGGAAAACTTCATCCAGGAGAATGTACGCTCAGGTGTGGAGGAAATAAAGAGGTCAACAGTCCACACCCAGACGGCCGCCATGCTGGAAATGGGAACCAACCTCCTCAGCCAATCAGCAGAGCAAACTCGCAAACTCACAGATGTTGAGACCCAGGTGAGTGAGTGAGTGAGTGAGTGAGTGAGTGAGTGAGTGAGTGAGTGAGTGAGTGAGTGAGTGAGTGAGTGAGTGAGTGAGTGAGTGAGTGAGTGAGTGAGTGAGTGAGTGAGTGAGTGAGTGAGTGAGTGAGTGAGTGAGTGAGTGATGAGTGAGTGAGTGAGTGAGTGAGTGAGTGAGTGAGTGAGTGAGTGAGTGAGTGAGTGAGTGAGCGAGGGAGGGAGGGAGTGAAGGAGTGAGGGAGGGAGGACTGAAGTTGACCTAGGATACCGTCTTTACAGCCAAGTCGAATACAAACCCCTCCAAAAAAAACAGCATGAGTCACTCCGGAACAAAAACAAATTGTATCTGTGTTAAAGAACTTTTGAGAATATATGATTCATTGGATATCAGATGGAACCTGCTGGGAAGACGTGCCCAAAAGTGGCGGCAGCTGCTTTAATGCAGTTGGTATTTGGTTCCTCGGGCTCTGATTGACACAGTGAGCCGCAAGAAGTGACTGACGATAAGCCAATTAAAACAAAATGCTCAGTAGCACAACACAGATGTGACTTTAATCATGCCAGAATTGTTATTACAGACTGGCATGTTTTGCCTCTCCTTTTCTCTTATCACAGTTGATATAAAACAGTACAACCTGTGTAAATATTCAAGCTGCTTTGTTCCACCCCATCTGCAACTTCAAAACATGACAAGATTGGTCTTACGCAAGTTTTGATTGTGAGATCAGAGGAGACAAATTATAGGATTTGTGACGGACTGAGTACGGCTGTTTATCCCCAAGGGTCCTTTTTAAGGAATTTGCTGCTCAAGATTTTCTTACTTTATTCCTTCCTCTTTGTGAGGTGCTTCTGTTTTTACTTTCTGCCAACATATAGGTGCTAAACCAGACAAGTCGCCTGGAGATCCAGCTGCTCGAGTACTCGCTCTTTACGAACCGCCTAGAGAAACGCATTCTCCTACAGACCCAAGAAATTTCACGCCTTAGTGATAAAAACAGGTAAGCATCTCATGCTACACTATGCATACACTTTGTCTCTACCGATGAAGGTTTCGGTCTTCTTAAAGGCTCGAAGTGATCAACACTAAAGGGGTCAGACCTATCTGTTTATTAATTAAACAGACAATTATCTCAATACTTGAAGGGAATTCATGCAGGCTCCAAATCAGAAGAAAACAAGACAAAATGTTATGAAAAATGGTAACATAAACAAAAATGAAACCGTAGAATACTGTAAATGTCCAACCCTTATTCCAGACATTCCTTCAATGTCTGGTAACACCCTTGTTCCATAGGTAACAAGGGTGTAAAATAAACCACTAAATTGTAGCAATTTTTGTAGTAATTATGCATAAGTATGCATGCGTAATTATGCTTGAATTCAAACTGAGAGCAATCTAAGATGTGAGGCTGCTTCAGAAAAACTGGGCATACTAGTCTACTAAAAAGATGGCATATAAAACCTGCTTTAAACTGTATCCTGTCGTGTGGCCCAACAGGGATAGGCACGCTTCTCAAGCAGTCGTAAACACCAGCCATAAATACTCTAGGAGAAACGCGCATTGAAGCATTTATAAAATCATAATGAAACACCTCAGCAATTCTTAACAGTAGGGCACTAGCATAGAAAACTGTTCAGATCGGCAAAATGTATGATTAAATGTGTAACGCTTGTTAGTCAGGGGTTTTCCACACTTCTCTCTAGGAATCACGGGTTATCTGGGTTGAGTGCAGAGCGAAAGGGTGTGAATATTTTTGGATGCTCACCATTCCATCCATCTGTTCCATGTGGCCGATGAGGATCAGGTGCCCTGTGAGCAGCACCTGTAGACATTCCCTCTTGCATAACTGCCCTTTTATGCCCTATCTTTCACTGCAGGTGACATGGCACTGGTGTCTAAACAAATTAATCCATCTTTGGGAAATTAGTGGCAGAGGTGCCTTTGGAGTAAAAAAAGAAAAAGAAAATAGGAACAGCTATAATTGTTGAATGTTACTACTGCTGGGGCTTCAGGGCATAGTGGAAGTTTCTGAACTGCTGCCAAACTGAAAATGGGCACAGAAACATGTTTGTTTTCTTAAGCCCTACATATGAAATACTACTGGCAGGAAGCAGATCCCTCTACAGGGGGATGGAGAGCAGGCTGCTGGCAGTGTATGCTTTGCATATTAAAATAACAATAACAAAAAGCAGAATATCACAAGCAGAAAATTCTAATAACTCTAATAATTCTAATATCTCTAATAACAGATGCAATCCAATCCAAGAAGGACATGCTTTGCACTTTTAACTGACCTTAACTGGTGAACAGCTGCGGTTCTGGCCTGCTTGCTGACTGATCCGCAAACTTGAATGCACACGGTACGGCAGTGAACAATTTGTGAGGCCGCTTTAATTGAGCATTTCCCCCCACAAAGCAAATATAAGTTAGGAGCGATGTAAAAATTGATTTGGATCGATCTGCCACCACCACATACTGAGCGGCTGGGCTAAAAACGGGAGACTGTGGGTCTATCTGGAGAGTGTGCGGTCATTGTGTGTGAGGGAACATCGAAGTAGCTTGTTCAGTCTGGGTGGTTGGATTGTTTCAATAAATAACTTTCGCGGAGTCATTAGTCAGAGCCATAAAGATCAGGCTGTGGGGATTTATGATCTTCATTTAGCTAGGGAGCGCCACTCCTGCAGACACAAAAACACACTAAGACACACACACACACACACACACGCATACATATGTGCTGTCAGGCTGGTGCCTCCGGGCCATGATTGAGCATTTTAGCATGCCGAGCCATCTGCGAGCACCGCTGTGGTACAGGTGTTTATATGATGGTAGCTCAGCGAGACAGTCGTGCTGATGTCTATTAGTCATCCTCATGTAAATATGTAACTTTGTGCTATATAAGCTTTGAAAGGTAAATGACAAATGGATTGATTATTCACCTGCGCTGCGCACATTTTTATTATTCACCACAATTTGCATTTTATGAGGATCCTTTGCAAAATTGACCTACTTCATCCTTTTCTTTTTCTCCTTCTCCAGCTTTCTAGAACAGAGGCTCTTGGCACTGGAGGCTCGGTATGGGAAGGAGCTGCAGGACTTGCAGGGTGAAAAGCAGCAGCTTCAAGATGTTCTGGAGAGGCAGAGTCGCCTGGTCAGCCAGCTCGAGGGTGAGCTCAGAAGCGCAACGCTTAACAGCACCACACTGCAGAGGCAGACAGACACTGTCGAGCAGCTGCTGACAAGAGTCAGACAATGCAATGGTGAGGCTGTGTGGCTTTACTTTGTTTGGATCAGCACGTTATTCTCCCATAAACATTTGCATCTATTGTAAACAAAAGATGCAAACGTATGCAAGAGGAGTGATTCCACATAGGCAATGTAGGAACGGTAATTTCGACTTCAACATCTTGAAGTAGTAGAGCTCACACACTGTGTGTGGGGAAAAAGCAACAACAAAAAGCTAAAGTTATCATTGTGTCAACATGTGCTTCTGTGTTACTCAGAAATTTCCAACTTGCCCAAAAAGGAGAGATTCGCTTTCAGGGACTGTGCAGAGATTCTCCGATCAGGGGCAAAGGAGAGCGGAATATATAGCATACGGCTGCACAACTCCACCCAGGACGTAAAGGTAGAGGTGTTTTCATCCTTCAAGCCATAAACTATGTTATGCTACCTGCACATGATATCAAAAATGTGCTTAACTAACTATTTTCCCTAGGGGGGCCAGGCAGAGGCACAAACTGTGTACATTGAAATTTCATCTAAATGCACTGTAGTCTTAAGTTACAACGAACACTGTGGGCCAAAACTTGAGTAACAAACCTATTTATCCAAACAAAGCACATGGATCTGCTCAGCATGCAAAAAAACATGCAGTAGATTTGTTTGTCACAGTGGCCTCAGACAGAAACTCATTTTTCTAGACACACGATTAGTCTGTTTTGTCTAGCTTATTTACAACTCTATTTTTAGTATCGCTTTTCAACTTACTTATAAACATAGAAGGATATATAAATTATTGAACCATTACACACCACAAATTGCAAACAACCTACTTTTCTCCTTTATGAAGAGTTTTTTTCATGCAGTAGTCTGAGGTAGTTTTTCTTACTATCAAACTAGAGATGAAAATTAGGAACTTGGTTGTAATCTCACAAATTTACATGTAAATGTTAGGTGATATGTAATGCCCCAATAAAAAAAAAGTAACAATGAGCCAAACCAAATATACAGTTAGGGCCAGAAATATTTGGACAGTGACACAGGTTTTGTTATTTTAGCTGTTGACAAAAATATGTTCAGAAATACAATTTATATATAGTATGGGCTGAAAGTGCACACTCCCAGCTGCAATATGAGAGTTTCCACATCCAAATCGGAGAAAGGGTTTAGGAATCATAGCTCTGTAATGCATAGCCTCCTCTTTTTCAAGGGACCAAAAGTAATTGGACAATGGACTCCAAAGGCTGCAAGTAACTCAAAAGGCCTTTCCCTCGTTAACCTGTAATCAAGTAAGTAGTTAAAAGGTCTGGGGTTGTTTCCAGGTGTGTGGTTTTGCATTTGGAAGCTGTTGCTGTGACCAGACAACATGCGGTCAAAGGAACTCTCAATTGAGGTGAAGCAGAACATCCTGAGGCTGAAAAAAAAGAAAAAATCCATCACAGAGATAGCAGACATGCTTGGAGTAGCAAAATCAACAGTCGGGTACATTCTGAGGAAAAAGGAATTGACTGGTGAGCTTGGGAACTCAAAAAGGCCTGGGCGTCCACGGAAGACAACGGTGGTGGATGATCGCCGCATACTTTCTTTGGTGAAGAAGGACCCGTTCACAACATCAACTGAGGTCCAGAACACTCTCAGGGAAGTAGGTGTATCTGTCTCTAAGTCAACAGTAAAGAGAAGACTCCATGAAAGCAATACAAAGGGTTCACATGTAGATGCAAACCATTCATCAATTCCAAAAATAGACAGGCCAGAGTTAAATTTGCCCAAAATCACCTCAAGAAGCCAGCCCAGTTCTGGAAAAGTATTCTATGGACAGATGAGACAAAGATCAACCTGTACCAGAATGATGGGAAGAAAAAAGTTTGGAGAAGAAAGGGAACGGCACATGATCCAAGGCACACCACATCCTCTGTAAAACATGGTGGAGGCAACGTGATGGCATGGGCATGCATGGCTTTCAATGGCACTGGGTCACTTGTGTTTATTGATGACATAACAGCAGACAAGAGTAGCCGGATGAATTCTGAAGTGTACCGGGATATACTGTCAGCCCAGATTCAGCCAAATGCTGCAAAGTTGATCGGACGGCGCTTCACAGTACAGATGGATAATGACCCCAAGCATACAGCCAAAGCTACCCAGGAGTTCATGAGAGCAAAACGGTGGAATATTCTGCAATGGCCAAGTCAATCACCAGATCTTAACCCAATTGAGCACGCATTTCACTTGCTCAAATCCAGACTTCAGACGGAAAGACCCACTAACAAGCAAGACCTGAAGGCTGCGGCTGTAAAGGCCTGGCAAAGCATTAAGAAGGAGGAAACCCAGCGTTTGGTGATGTCCATGGGTTCCAGACTTAAGGCAGTGATTGCCTCCAAAGGATTCGCAACAAAATATTGAGAAAAAACTTTTTTGTTTGGGTTATGTTTATATGTCCAATTACTTTTGAGCTCCTAAAATGTGGAGTGTTTGTAAACAAATGTGTACAATTCCTACATTTTCTATCAGATATTTTCGTTCAACCCTTTAAATTAAACGTTACAATCTGCACTTGAATTCTGTTGTAGAGGTTTCATTTCAAATCCAACGCGGTGGCATGCAGAGCCCAACTCACGAAAATTGTGTTACTGTCCAAATATTTCTGGCCCTAACTGTATACACACATATTAATTGTGGTTGTCAAACAACAAAACAAGCATTTCTGTCATCTACTGACATCACTAACCTATGGATGATATGAACAAACTTATTGACAGTCGTGGTGGGAGTGGCTAGGCAGCTTGGGCAATCAGATTTCAAGGGTATCCAGCGCCCACTCTTATGGCCACACCCTGACATGATATGCATCCAGATTTTCTCAACTATATATGATTTTTCAACGGAGTAACCCAAAAAGGTGTCTCATTGTAAAGTGGAGGGTAACAGATACATGATTTTTCAATGTTTTACAAATGACATCCCACAAGTGGATTCAGCACACCTAGCACAAACTGAATAAAATCTAGACCAATCAGCCCCCTTAAAAGTAATTGTTTGACATTGCAGTTAACAGCCGTGCAATCCATAAATCTAAGCTTCATGATAACTAGAGCTAGAGGAAAAGCGATGTTGACAGAAAGCTGTGAGAAGTCAGTTTGCCAGAAACTGACTTCTCACAGCTATGTTCCTGTGGGGAACATGGCAAACGTGGATGATGGAGCTCAGCTCAGATGAACCCGATATTTAACTTCCCAATCTACATGCAAAATATTATGCGCAATGAATAACTAAATCAATATTTTTTAAGGCACTATATATGTAAAAACTAAAAGAAGACGACTATGAGAAAAAAACATTACTTGAACTTCTATGGTTTTTCTTTTTTGCCACAAGTTTAAACAATGTTACAAAAGAGAGAACAGAACAAAAAACACATAGGAAGGTGTATCAGATGCATTTCTTTCTAAATCTTTGAAAAGATAGTTGCACAGACTTCGTCATGGGTTTTTGTTTTAGTCCTAGTGATTTGTCTTCAATCTCATTGTACTCTGTGAGAAGCTATGAAAGTGACAAGTGCATTTTTTTTAACAGTCAGACCTATAAGATATGGCATCAGCGACATAGGAGTTCAAAGTCATTGACCTTTTCCCTCAAATATCAGCTGACTAATAGAGACATATTTTTTTTTTTTTTTTTTCTCAAAAGACTGTTCTTTTTCCTCTCGGTTTGTAACACTTCAACCAGTTTTATTTTTTATGTTAATTTCACAGACCAGTAAGAAACAAACACACATACACACGCAATGTATGATAGAATTCAGTCAGGTACCTAGGAGAAAATTCCTGGAAGGAAACAAAACCTAGCATAATTTCAAGGTAATTTGCCAAAGCTTTTGGGGCTGAGGTAAATAGAGATGCCACGCTGTGTAGCAGAAAGCAAAAATAATAAGCAACGAGAGTTTTACGCCCTGCTGGCGACATGGGCAGGGAGAGTGAGTGTGTGCGTGTGCTGTTGAATGCAAAGTCGGAGCAGCCAAGGAGGTGCCTCCTCTGATCTGAGGGTGCTGGCTCATGCCAAGTCAACCATGGCATCCAGCAGCAAGCTATCATTTCAGTAAATCACATCCACTGGTCTTCAACTGGATTCTTTCCCTTAGAGCATAACAGGGTGCGGGGGGGAGCAAACAAACAAAAAAGGAAATAAATAATGGTCATGAAACAGCTGTTATGCGTTGCTTTTAGTCTAGTTTACTGTTGGCACCTTGTCTTTCTGCCTATGTTTTTCCCACCGAGTTCCTTCTCCTCGTTTCCTGTGGGCAACCAGGTGTTAGGCACTGGTGCCATGTGTTTCCTGCCAACTGGGGCCAGTGTGCGTTTTCCACTGATACAAGTAAGCACCCTCCTCCCTCCATCCCTCCCTGAATCAAGGCTGCTTTCAATCTATGCCAATTCCAATTTTGTTCCAGGTCCAGTGGGCCTGGTGAGGTGGGTGGCTGTAAAAATTGGGGCAAAAACAAATTGGCCTATTTTCTAAGCAGTGAAGGGCGATTTTTCTCACTTTGACCAGAGACAAAAGGATTGTAAATGTAGCATAAGCCTCACTCAGATGTGATTTGTATCAGAAAAAGTATTTTTGTCATTTTGGTTCACTTTCCTACCCACAGAGTTCTGTTCAGTCTAAAAATAATTTGATCAGTCTGAAACGGAATCAAAACTTTTATACAGCTTTCTTCAAAGAGTTTCTATAGATGATGATGGCTGTGGAAGGCTCTGACTGGATTGGTTTGTATTTAGCACCGTCTATGTCCCTGAAGGAGAACGGCTCCCCCGAGCCTGATGCTTCCACCACTGTGGTATCACAGTGAGCGTTGTTGGTTTTGTGTGATGTGCACTGTTAGTTGTCCGCCACATGCAGAACAGAAAGCCTGCTTGTTCATGCTCTGGCCTTTATGTGGCCTGTTACAAGCCATAACTTCTTTGTCTTTGTTCTTTCATTTAAGGTGGCACGAATGAGACCAATATTATTGTCATCAGTACACCTTCATAGATTTGTCATGTTGTCATTGCAGTTTGGGATGGTGGACTGAACTGTGTTATGTGACGTTTTTAAAGATGTAGTTTAAAATCTAATCCAGTTTAATCGTTTCCAGAATTTGATACTTGACGTTTTTGCCGTTTTCCTTGGTCTTAGTCATGTTTGATCGCTAATGTTCATTTACAAATCTCTGAGGAATGTATTTTTACCCAGTTTAAATGAGAGCTCCCATGTACTCTGGTGTACCTCACTCAACGAAGGTCCTCACGTACTTGAGGTAGACTTGTAGTGGACATCTACCGGACACGTTTGCGCCCATGTACGCATACTCTTGTGTCGCACATTAAGCTGCGTGGAAACAGTGTCTACATCCAACTGTTTTATATGCAACATCGAGCTGTTACGGTTGACAGTGTAACCTGGTTACACTTCTCTTTTGTTATAATTACACAAAATGTCTTTTTTTTGGTTATTTGTGTTGTTCTCTACCCGACTGAAAATGTCTGTTATTGTTTTAACCATGTTACTTTAAGAGCGGAAGCCCCTCCTTTTTTATTTCTTCTTCTGTATTGTTGTCCTTAAAATGTTTGCGTCCCTTAGGCTCTTTCCTTTTGTCATGTTGTCTTGCGGGAGAAGTGTGTACTATTTATTTTTTTATCTAAAAGCTTTCAGTTTATTTATAGATTTATTAATTATATACTCTTGTGTAGGACTTGGAGCGTTAGCCTATATCATGGTTGTTTTTCTATGATGTTTTTGTCAGATTTAATCAAGGAACCATCCTTTAAAGACATACCATGCCACGGCCTGATAATTTAAAACCAGCACAACGCAGAAAGTATCCAGTTACAAGAATCAATGTCATCTTGTGGAAAAAATGGAATCAAATTGTGAAGCGCATCTGAAGGAACAGGTGCGCTTCCCTCAATACTTATATTGAGAGAATATAAGAACTGTCCTACCAGCATTATTGAATTTCCCTTCTTTATTATTAAAAGAAGAAATTTGTCATAAGACTTGTAAAAAAATCTTGGTGCATAGCACACCCAAGTGTCTGGGAGCATTTACAAACAAGTGGAGTCTTAATTATGAGACAAGCAACTGGTTGCACTGGATTTTATTCACTTAAACCAAGTTAAGTACCTATACCTATCCATAATTGTCTGCATTTGTATTGTTTAAACAAAGGAATACACACATCCATTTCTGTTTGGACTGTTTTATTTTGTATTTGTCTAACACTCAAGTATTGCACATTGTGGTTCATATTTAAAATATGAAAAAAATTAGAAGACTTTTGCACAGCCATGTTCTTCCTTTATATAACTGGTAATGTGGTACGATAGCTTATGGAACGGTGTGCATAAAGCAGAGTAAGCAGAAGTTAGATTTTTAATATTTAGTAACCCCACAATGTGATTTCATCAGCTAAAAACCCTCAGTTAAAACAAGACAGGCACTTTAACTTCCAACTTGACAAAAAAAAATGTTAACATGCACTTCATGTATGTGTTCATACAGAAGGCTGTCAGGATATCTAAAAAGTATGGTCTTAATTCAAGATTGTCCATGTTTAAAAAAAAAAGGCAGAAAAAAAATTATTTGAAAGTCATACAAACACAGTTTCATATTTTGATAACACAACATGACTACTTACTCTTCTGTCAGATTTCAACCCTGATTTGAACAAGAGCAAAATCCATGTTTCTTTCATCAATAGTAATCAGCACTCCAGGTTGTAGAGACTTTGTGTTTTTCTCCAAGTCACCATTGCTGCTGACAGTTTTCTTGACCTGAAGTGACAACACGGTACAAAAATCCACATAAAGTGCTCAGAAACAAAACAAAAAACACTTTCCAAGTGTGGTGATTTAATTATATAAGTTTAACCAAGACTGATCCAAGTAACAAAAAGCATTTAATCTTCCACCCACTGGGGAAACTCACTCCGTCATCTCATTACCAGCACAGGAGGCTGGAAGGCAGCCAGCTAAACACCTCAAATGTCTGAAACAAGTCTAGATTTCCAAATCTGTCACCAGATGAATAAGTACAATTTATTTATAGTTTTCCTTGCAAACACATCTCCATCTGGCAGAACGTGTCGCCAAGAAAGAAAGAAAACACGGCTGTAACCAAAAACGCCTCCTCAACCAACCTTTCTCCCTCTACCCCCTCTTCCACACCACCAGTCCCACTCCTGGGATACATGAACAAACTGGGATGTTAGTTTTTCCACCCCACCTGGGTTATATCATCGTGAAATACCCTGAAAAGGATGGCTAACCCCCCCTCATTTTCCTCAAGCTTTTATGGAAGTCTTCAAATAAGACAGGCTATGGTGTGTTTCATTTCATCACGACATTATTTTCCTCTCATTATGAGTCTTCTGACTGACTGCGTGACTAGACTAGTCTAGCATAGTCAGAGACATTTCAATTCACTCAGGGGGTTTGACAAAAAAAATATTCCCAGCTCTTAAAATGTAAAACTTTATACATATATAGTGGTTGGACTCGATTTTAAATCTTTTTTTTTTTTTTTTTAATTTACATTTTTTGATTAAAGTTTTAATTTAATTGCAGGGTCTGTAATTAATAAATTGCATTTCAAGTGAAATCTGTACATCGACAAAATGAGCAGCATTTTCTACTCAAAAACTCCTTTTGCTGCTAAATTATTGAATAAATAGACGTATCTGCACACTTCTTAAATATTAGATTAAAAACGATGAAAATCTTTGTTATTCAACCATCAGATTGGTGCAAAGTGTTTTTATTTCATCCATTCAGCTTTCAAGAGTTTCACAGACTGCTCATCATTCGTGGAGCTTCTTTGTAACAATACATCTTTAGAAATGCGGACTGTGGACGCTAACATTAGCATTACAGACATTTGTGCTTCTACAACAAGTTTGAAAAGCGTCAGTAGTAAGGCACCTATTATAGCACAATTTGCATGCAACTATTTTCTCTTCCAGAATCCTATTAGAAGATTTATTTTTTGAAGAAAAAAGTGAACCCCCATTGGATTAAGAAAAGCAGCTTTGTTGTTCATCACTGTTGTTGCCGGACATGGCCTGTGCGTCAGATTTACAAGCGTACCAGAAACACAACACAGAGGATCTGATTCTGAAACTTTTGTATGTGAAAAAAAACAGTGCAATTAAGCCACATTCAAAAAGTAGTGCCTAACTGTTGATGAGAACAGACAACACACAATTTACTGTAAATCATCAATATGTAGCAGCATTTCTATTCTGACCCTTTTTACTCTGCTACATCCAGAAAAAATCCAGCTGAATCAATTGCTTTCAGGAGTCAGATAATTATTAAATGCAGTACATTAATCAGAGCAGCAGCAGCCAAGAGGTCCTGAGTGAAACGTATCAGTGGCATCATGTGTTGGGAATGCTTCTTTTACGCAGAGAAATGGGTTGGCCAGAGATAATAAGCAAAAGAACAGAGCAATTAAGAAAGACAATCTACCAACGTTACAACTAAATGGTTTAAATAAAAAAATATTGATTTCTTAGAATGACCTAATTCCAGACCGAAAGCCAACTGAGAATCTGTGCCAACACTTTAAAGTTTGTTGTTCAAATCTAGTTTAGAAAAACTCCAAAGGATCTTCAGATCACAGTAGTTCAGTTTTTACCCAGGTGGGCTCAACACAAATGCACTCCACACTTTCAAGATTGCTTTTTTAAAGTAAATAAAAGGCACATAAAAGAGTAATATTTTACTTCCACTCAATTATTTTGCACTACTGTCTGCTAGTCATTGTAGCAAACTGAAAAATATGAGGGGTCTAAATTAGTTTGCGCAGCATTGTTCACGTCAGAAAGTATGATGCTAAAAGTCTAGCAGTATTAGTTTTTTGACATTCAGCAGAAAGTTGGTTAAAATAACAAAAGAAAAAAACAACAACTCTACTCTGTAACACATCTGTCAAACACCAAAGAACAGTGTGTGAAAACAGTATCTTTCGGTTGGTAAAGAGCCACGTTGTGCAGTTAGCAGCTGGTGGACTACAGTGAAATGAGTCTCGCCATCTGGTTTGAAACAGAACAGACTACGGATCAGTGTTCAGGGTCCTCAGAAAGGAACAGAAATGATTCAGGCAAATGTGCATCCTTGGATTAAATAACTTGTCAGCCGGTTCTTGTTGCCTGAAGTCTCTCGGTTGAGACATCGCAGTGACAAAATGTGCCACTTTTCAAAGGAAACTTTTTGACGTAGTGCTGCAGCTTATTTATTGTACCAGGACTAAAAGATCAGACCTGGTTTTAACAGTTTTTTTTTGTTTGTTTTTCCTCAGGTGTATTGTGACATGAAGACCAGAGGTGGCGGATGGACGGTGCTGCAGCATCGAAGGAACGGCTCAGTCGACTTCCACCGCAGCTGGAACGACTACAAAATGGTAGGTGTTCAAGACATCAAGGTTGCACCGCTATCGTAAGGTCATGTGGACCCTGGTGCTGCAGGCCTGCACAGGAGGTTTCAATAACTGTCCATGGGTGGTTTGGCATGAGATGGCGTGGGAGAGCAGCTATCCTGTGATCCCAGGTGACCTGTGGTTGTTGTATTTGGCTGCCCTCGTGTTCCCTATCACCCCCCATGTTATTGCACCTGCTCTCATTCCCTCTCTCTATGTCAACCCCCACGAAAACGAACACACACACAGGCACACATCGCTCATACACAAACCACAAATGTTTTCCAACTCTGACTCTCAGGACACTATTATTTGTATCGGCCCTTAAGCTTGCAAAAGTTTTTCTGCAAAACAGTCTAATGTGCGCACAAGAGACCTCAAAGTAGTCCTGGTGTTTTGGCTCTGTCAGACATGTTTTCACACTTTTGGCTTTTGTTTTGGCCAGAGCTTAAATTATGTTTTACTAGATGTGACTACGATGCTTTTTTTTTTTTTTTTTTTCCAAATAGAAAATGTTTTGCTCAAGAAAAGCAGCATGCAGTCCGCTCTGACTGTTAAATTACGCACAGAAGAAATGAGTGATGCAAGTTGTGTGAGGTTTTGGATGTGGTGGTGTTATGTGTCTGATCTGCCCCGACAAATCAACTGCGATTGCATTTGCAAACTCAAAGAGTGACGCTCAAATAAATAACAGTTTAAACTTTTTTTTTTTTTTTAAAGATTTGAAAACTTCTTTTAGGGACAATATTTTTACAAGTGGATGATAAATATTTGACTCCAGCGGGGGGCGTGGGAGCAGAGGGGCCCCTGTAGATGGCAGATAATGTATGCAATAAAACTCTGCTGTTTTAGACTTTGCTCCATTTTCTCAGAAGCTGTGGTCAGACTTGGTCAAATGTTGCACCCCAGGGTTCTAGACAGGTGATAAATGCTTCACACCTCTTTGCACTAAATCTTCTCACAGTCAAGAGCAACAACTAAGACAAAGTGTGACAGCCAGATGTGTAATTCCAAGAATTAGTCCTAGCCCAATAAACTTTGTAGTCTTTCAAAAATGCTATGGTAAATTTCTTTACACTTTTATTAACAAGACTGCTTTAGCTCATTAATTTATTAATAGTCGCCCTATTGTTCCACAAAGTTTATTTCTGGACTTTACCCTCACAACACCTCCTGTCCTTCTGCTAGCCGTTCTGCTGCTGATTTGCTGATGGCTTGGGGATTATTATCCTGTTTGTCTGATCCATTTGCAGTCAGGCTTCAGCTGTCACACAGATGGCCCCATATTTGACAGTGAAATGCTTTGGTATACAGAGGAGTTCATGTCCGACTCAGTGACTGCAAGGTGTCAGGGTCTTGTGGTCTCAAAACAAGCCGTCCGGCCTGCCTCCCCTGCTGCGCTTGACAGTTGGTATGAGGTGTTAGTGCTGAAATATTGTTTGGCTTTTGCCAAATGCACTCCAGCGAAACGTCTCTACTTTTTGGCTCATCTGTCCAAAGGACATTCTTCCAAAAGTCTTGCGGTTTGCTCAGATGTAACTCAACAAACTTGCGCTTCACTGTTTTATTTTTAAATAGAACAGACTTTCTACTGGCATCCTTTCTAACAAGCAGTGCCTATCTAAACTTTTATTTGTTTTTTCTTTTTTTCAGGACACTTTCTGAACTTTGCAATTCAGCTTGATATCTGAGGCTGAATTTTGATTCTGAAATTCGGCTCTTGGGCTTTTGACTGAGCATTGGTTGCTCTGATCTTGGTGTAATTTTGCCAGCACGCCCCAGTCCATGTCTCTAAATATTATTCACTTTGTTTTCCCACTTCGATCACTGTTTATATTTTAAGGCAGCAATAATTCCCTCTCAAAGATCGCTCATGATGCCCCCAATCATCTCACCCACCTCTGCTTCTAAGCCAGGCTCGCACTTTTTTTTATCACTCAGAGGTATTTTGATTTACAGCACATAAACTTGACTTCGTTTAATAGTGTCAACATTTCTTTTTCCACTCATCCCTCTATCTTCAATGTACGGAGCACAAAGTTTCATTATTATTATTATTATTTTATCACTTGGGGGCATTTGACTGTATGTAGATCATTGCACTCTTAATTCTCAAATGGATTATGAAGTACAAACAGAAATAAAGTGATTGATGCCATTTGTACCTGATAAGCCTGAAAATGTTACTTCCTTTATCCCAACTCATTGTACCGTACACACTACAGGTCTTAAATGAGGTTTTTCAATATCTCAGGTTGAAATCTTGTAGTACAGCTGAACCTGGCAGGAAATATGATTCTATTTGCTAAAATAAACGTTTCAATAAAGAGACCTTCGCCAGACGATATTTTTTAGTGATTTGTTTCTAAATCGTTCTCAAATGTAAACATTACCTATGTTTTGTTGAATTCATTAATCATTTTTTTGCTTCCTTTGCCAAAGTTTTGGATAACTTCCATCCATGTCAATTCCTCCGTTCCAAAGTGAGTGGATTATTTCGCAAAACTACTGGTTACTTTAGCTTTTATTTTACTTAAGCCGTGCAGATGGACCATTGATATGACGCAAAGGTAAATCCATGTCTCTGCTGACTGTTCTCTCGCTTTTTGGAGCGGAGTGTTTTACATCCCAGATGCAGTCAACTGTCTTAACACATCAAAATGATAGATGTGCCTGCCCGAAGTGAGCTCCGTTTTCATATTAACTCCAAAAAATACTTGGCTGACAGCTGGAAAAACCATTCCCTTTTGTTAAAATGTGTTTTTTTTTTTTTTCTTTTTTTTTCCTGTCTTTGTGTTGAATCCAGGGCTTTGGAGAACCATCAGGGGAACACTGGCTGGGAAACGATATCATTCACAAACTGACCAGCTCACAGGAATACAGTCTGCACATCCAGCTCCGAGACAGAGAGGGGAGCGAAGCCTACTCACATTACGACCGCTTCTACATCGACAAAGAAGTCAACAACTACAGGTAATATCACATCATGTCGTCTTTTAGAGAATGTCTTTTTACATTTTGGCTTAGTCAATGTATTTATTTTTTGGTTGATCATAAGGTTAAAAACGAAGTGCCCCACAGACATATTCCTAAAAACTGAACATTTTGAAAATAAGTTATTTGTCACGTCACAACCACTAACTTGAATTGTTTTGTACAATGGAGTTGCATTCTACAATGCTAGACAACACTATGTAATACCACTTATCATCTTCCCATTTATAAACACAACCATTCTCCTTTATACAGCCCTGCTGTTGCTAATGAAGAAAAATGTCACCATGACATAATCATCGCCACCATTGTATTTCACTTCAGCGGCTATAAGATCAGTGTAGCATGTATTGTTAGTTTTTTTTTTTTTTTTCCCAGATAGTGTTTCACATGTGTTGGTAAAGTGCACTTTCTTCCACAATCCTATTGCATCAATCTGGAAAACTGAGTAACTGATCAGAACTTCTGATTTAAGATTTTAAGATGATGTCATCAGTCAAAAATGTAAATACATGTCTAAATTCTCAAATTTTGAAGACTAAAATAAAAAAATAAAGAATACAAATAATAAGTATGATTACAAAATAAAATTTTTCCATCAAAGTCTGAAACTAATATTTAGAGTTGGTGCTGCAAATCATACTGGTAGAACCGGGTGAAGTACTTCCAGTATCAAGTGACACAACAGAGTCAGCCGGTAGAAAAAAGAAAAACAAACCTAGTGCACAAACAAGAAATCTTAATTTAGTAAATGGACTGAACTTTTGAGTTTACAGTCTTGGTTGCTATTTTTCAGCCCTGATTTACTAATGAGGTGAATTCTGGAGCCACATGGTTGGACTAGAGTACAGAAAGGGGTGTCAGAATAAAGGAGCCTGAATAAAGTTCAAATTTTTTACAATAATTTGGGAAGAAAAAAAAACAAACATTTCCCTTGCATTTTCACCACGTTGTGCTGACTTGTCAAATAAGATGGACATAAAAAGCAATGAAGTTGGTGAATGACATCTGACTTGAATGGGGTCATCATGAGGGTCTGTCTTCACACTCACTGGATTCACAGATCTGACTTATAAAGACTTGCTAAGCGGAGGTTGTCCAATGAATTCACAGACATCACAGCTGCTCTGTCTGCCCCTGAAATTACCACATCCCTCCCCGTCCCCTCACCCCACTCCCACCGGTGTTCAACTGTAAACCTCAGCTGTAGCTGCCACTGCCGGGAAGTGACACATTAAACAAAGCTCCCCCCAGTAACCGTCCAGTCGCTAACGTTATTATGTTGATTATGCCGAGGCGATGCGTCTTCTGGATGGAAAGTTAAATTTAATATAAAGTCTGGGACTCGCTCTTGTTCAGTGAGTGTTTATAGAGGGTGATGATCTGAGGGATGACAAATCACAATCACATGTAGGAGTAGGCTTTGAAAACCCTTAATAGTGCAGCAAATTGCTTTTTCCCCCAGTTTCTTCCACGTAATTAGCACAATAAAAGAGTGTTTCACCACTTCGCTTCAGGCTGCTCCGTGTGAGACGATGCACCTCAATGTGTGTAATCACCCCTCTTCGCCCTGCTACTTCTGAGATCACATTCTGTTTAACTCCTACCAGCTTTATGTGCGTGCTGGAAAATGCCGATTTGACCCCGTGGGTTGGTATTATTACTCCCGAGCCACTGATCCGGGTGCTCCACAGGAAGTTGGTGGCAGAAATTCTGGTTCCCAGCTGGATCCAGTGCACTCCCGGAGCAGTGTGGCGTTTTTCACCTAGAACTCAGTTAACAAGATTCATACATAAATCATTGGGATGGCAGAAAACCTCCTCCTTTGAGGTTGCTAAAAATAGCTGTCCTTATAGTGAAGAAAGTGGTGGACATTCCGGTAAGGTGACACGTTCTTTGTCACTATGCCTGTAATTACATAAAGAGTCCTTTCTTGTTCTGCAGATTTAGAAGAATAGCTCAACCTAATTTGGATATTTTCTAAAAGGGTTATAAGAGCTGGAAGCCTCCGAAATCCACATGGTGAACTTTGCTTTTTTTGTGATATTATTGTGATTAAAAAGCAAAAAAATCTGTAAGGGGGGCAAATTCCTTTTCACATTAAAACACACGTGTTCCATAGTCCAGCTCGATATCGTTTAGCCTCTTATTACAAGTGTCCAATTTCCCCTCATGCCGCTAATCCATTACGAGGGAAAAAAAATAAATCAACTATTTTTCATCCCCTGACAAAATTCCCAAATCCCTTTGCTATTCCATCATCACTCCCCTCCCCGCTGCTGTCATTTCAAGCTTTGCTCTCGCATCCCTTCATGACGTGTTGTCCTGCCCTTTGAACCTACAAATTCGAGAGGAAGATTTTTCATTTAGTCATCACAGACAGTGAGCCTCTGGGCGACAGAGCGGGGAAGCGGGGGGACTGTGTGTGAGGGGACACACACAGAAGAAGAGCTCTGCTCTAACTGGAACAGAATTACGAGGGCAGAGGAGAGGCTGTGCGGCGGGACCGAATCCCTCAACCACCTTCTTCAAAGCAGCTCTGACTCACACTCAGGTGGGCAAATAAAAGACGCGGAGAGCCTCACATGCGCACACATTCAATCAGCCCATGCTTTGTGAGAGGAGAGCAACTGAATCTTGGGCAGGAACTCTTCTCCCTTTTTTTTTCTTTTCTTTTTCAAACCGGGTTGTTTCTCAAAGCACGGCATGGAAGGAAAATAATGAGATTTCTTTTGCTTCGTTTTCACACTGATGTTTAGCAACAATGTGAACCTGAGGCTCAGACATCCTACAGTGGCTTTCAAGAGAATATAACCTAGCTTTTTTTTTTTTTTTCCCAGGGTTGTTTTGCATTATCGTTGTCTGTGTGGAAGTGTGTTGAGTTTGGATATATTATGGTGCAAAGTAGACAGGATCCAAAATAACACCTCTTTACTTTGTTACTAAATGCTAAAAAAAGGATCAGCCACATCAAAAGCGTCAGATTTAATTCTATTTAAACTGCTTTTTTTTCTTGTCTTTTTTCCAAATTAAATCGTCGAGTCATATTTTTTTCCCCCGCCAGGCACTGACAAATCAAACAGACGAAACAATAAAAGTAGATCAAAAGCCCCTCTGGATGCGAATCATCCATTCGGTGTTCTGTTGTTCAAAAGAACAACAAACATAGATGCCGATATCAGCTTACCTGCAGTTGCTCTAAAATTGTATCGGTACAATTTTAGAGCATACTCAAACCTGGCTGCGCCGTCTGATAAAATTTTTGGGATGTAAAATGATGCGATCATAATTAATCATTTCAAAAGCTTTCCACTTTACTAAAACATAATGTCCTGAAAGCTGAAAATTGAGTAGAAACATAAATAATAACAAGACCTCCATAAACTAAAAAGTTGAAAGTTCAAGACTCCAGGTGCTCTCTTTGTACAAATGTATCAATCAGGAGGAGGGTACAGATAAATCTAAGTATACAAAATCTAGATGCCACAGTGATGACAATCAAAAAGATAAAGCAAAATGCACATTTATCCTTTTTCAGAGAATATACAAAAAAAGATGAGGAAAAACTAGACAGTGAGGCCAAAAGAAGTATTTAAGGATTTATGCAAAATGCTTGTTTTTTTTCTACAAGTGACATAATTGTTCAGTATTATTCATATAACAAAGGAGTAGTTTCTCCCAAAGAGTCATTCCCAGCATGGCTAAAATCTTTTAAAATCCCATGAAAGGGCGTGTTATGGCCTGATGAAATGAAACATAAATTACAAGTCACAGTTCCAAATGGTTTCACATTTGTTTCCATTTCAGATGGATACTGGATATTTGACAAATTTGGTCACATTGTGGGGAAAAGTTTTTTTTTTTTTAATCAATTGTGGTCACTTTTTTAAACAAAACATTTCAATGAGTGCGTTTAAACTTCTGAGATCTGCTATGCTTACCAATGACTGCTTTTGTTATGAATGCACAGCTTACGGTCCAGCTCAGTGTCATTTTCACTTCCCAACAAGCTGTCCGACATTGACTCGTTGTAGAATACTCAAACCTGGCTGCACCGTCTACAAAAGTTTCTTTTTTGTTTCTTCCACTCTGGCTAGCCTTCATGCCGACGGATTCAGCGGCACTGCCGGCAAAACCAGCAGTCTCACCCACACTGGGAGCCAGTTCAGCACCAAGGACAGAGACAACGACCGCTGCTCATGCAAGTGCGCTCAACTGGCCTCGGGAGGTGCGAACCGTCAATCGTCCGCTCCGATCGTCTGCCCCCGTCTCAATCTGTCTCTCTTTTACAACCTGTCCTGTTGAACATTTTTATTTCTCCTCTTGTAAATGTCCCGCGGAGCTTTTTATTTTCCCTTTGCTCCAGTATAAAGTTACTGCTGACTTATAGCCGTACATTTACATGTTCGATTTCATGAGCTGAAATTTGACTGATTGTGACTTTCTCCTTGAACTCTCTGGAATTGTGTCCCTCTTGCAGGATGGTGGTTCGACGCCTGCGGCCCTTCCAACCTGAATGGCATATATTACCCCGTTTCATCCAATGTACTCCGCTTTAATGGCATTAAGTGGTACTACTGGAAGGGTCCAAATCTGCTGGCTACCATGACAACCATGATGGTGCGCCCTGCTGACTTCAGATGAAATTGCCGTGTGTGTCGATGGATCGTTGGGAACTTAATGTTGCAGATGAATGTAATTAATCAGCCAGAGGCAGTGAATAAAAAAAAATCGGGCCAAGAAGTCTTCCAACTTAGACCACCATACAGTTTGTTCACATGCTAAAAAAGGACTTGTACAAGTGTTTCTGAAATAATTATTCTTCTGTCACCGTGTTGGGCTTTTAGTAACAGAATGTGGACTGAAAGCCCTTCAAAGAGCAACACTTCTGTTGTTTCAGACATGTCATGTTAGACTTTTGCTTTCACTTTACAAATGAGTGGAGTAGATTTATGCACTTAAACTTGGTTGAATTTAGGAATTAAAACAATGCATATGACTAGGAAATGTAAAAATAATAAGAAAACTTTTTTTATGGACAGGAGTGATGCAACTTTTCAATAATGTGTGGCACTGTAACCAAAATACTTGGTGGAAATACAGCAAGCACGTTGAAACGCTACAGTGATGAAGAATGTTGTGTAATGGAGTATTGCAAATAGGCCCATTGGTTAGGTTTTGGAATAAAAATCACCTGGTTTTACAAGTGTAATTGTAAAATAAGATACATTTAATTGCAATATAAAATGCCCAGTCACCAAATTACTTGCTTATGTTTAGGATCTGATGGGTTTTTATCACTTGAAATGTTTACGACACCTGGAAAACATTGCGAAGGAGGAGTTCAGGGATTACATATTTTGTCTAATGTAGTGTTGTGAGCAAAACAAGTGGTTATGATTGTGGTTTGAAAATATAGAGGAATAACAGTGGTTAAAATCACAGCAGAAATAGAAAGAGATCTTTTTTTATGATGTTAAATAATGTGGCCAAAATTTCTGGTAAGATTTAGGAGTTCAAATAACTTGGTTAGTCATGTGAAACAGTGTAAATATTGTGAAAGACTGCAAAGATCCATCATGTGCAGGGTTGTGATTGATGCACTTGGTTAGGTTCATTTCAGGCAAAGGAAACGTGGCAAACATGTTAGGTGGGAACAATAAACATTCTTTTTCATACAGAGTTGTGAGCAAAACAGTAAAGTTTGGGAAATAAAATACGGTTCTCAAGGTAACCGTCAGAGTCTGAAAGACTTTAAAGACTGAGATATTGTGGTTTGATCACTACAGCTCTTTGACTAAAATTATATATATATATATATATATATATCATTTTGAAAAAAAGAATTAAACAGATTATTAATGAATACAAAGAGGAAGTATTTCATGTAGTGTACAAAAAATAGGAGGAAAATACTTGCTTAATTTTAAGAACCAAAAGTACCCAATCAGTTGGAAAAAACAATCCAAATCTTTGAAGCGACATTGATCGTGTTCTATGGTTGTGGAGTCCAAGCAACATGTTTAGATGTTGTAAATATTATGTAAATATTTCTTAAAGAATGCATATGGCGTCATGCAGTGTGTTTTTGAAGTAAGTGTTTGGTGTTGGAAACAAATTGAGCTTGATTAGACGTTCAAAACGTTACGACCACGCGACAGTAGGACACAAAACGGGTTGACAAGGTACATTTTGGCAAATGGCATGATAACTAAGACAGCTTACTAGAAAGAACATGTCCGTGTGTCACGCTAACTGGGGAAAATTGTCTCGCTAACTCATGAAGATACGCTTCTTGTGTAAAGGGAGAAATTTACAGGATTTCATAATCAGAACTTTCTGTACAATTAAATTTTGGCATGAGAAATCACAAGACACATGGAGCTTGTAATCCCACTCAAAGCAACAATGATTTTATCCTGCTGCTTTCAAACGCAATCAATAACTTGACCTATAAAATACCTTCAGGGTGCAGCTCTTTGAAAGTTTTAAGGCAGCAAAGTTTTATTGAATGCTTCGTGACAGTTTTTTTTTCAGCAACTCAATGGAAATGTATTCCAGCTTGCAGTTCGGCGGTTTAACGTTGCTCATAACAAACCAATAAAGAGCAACAACTATAACTGGCTTTGACCCTTTACTCAATCACCCAAAGGGTTTTTTTTTTTTTCTTTTCAATAAAATATCTCTAATTCATTTAACATACACACCTCTCATAAAACTATTTGTTGGAGGTTCTGCTCATAAAGTACAACATAGTCTTTTGCTGGTGGGATTTACTGTGTAGAAGGAATCATTTGTGAAAGAAAAAAATAAATAAAAACAAAACCATCTGGAAACATTTTTGATGAAATGTTTAATTCTTTTAGTTGATGAAACCTGAGTAGACACCTATATATAGGCTATATATCGTCTGTTCTTATCTATGGAGATATGAACAGACACATATATATATGTGTGTGGCTGTGCGTGCGTGTGTGCGTGTACGTTTGTGTGTTGTTTGTTGCCACCCACAGCGTCAGGTGTTTGTTTCCACGTTAACTACATCAACTTCTGCGAGCCACAGCGGCGAAGTCAAACGAGGACTGCTTCACTGCACTGATCTGATGAATCATCCAATAACACAGATCCCTGTGGTGGCCCATTAGAAAGCGGATGGGTTGCACCTCGGCTCACTGTAACTTGCCTCTGCTAGCTTACAGTGTGTGTGTGCAGGTGTGTGTGTGGGTTGGGGGCAGGGAGGGGTGCAGCAGCAGCTAAGTGGAGAATGACTCATGACTCATGAGAATGTCGGACGGCCGGAGCTACAATACGGGAAAAAGCCTGAGCTTCACAAGACAGAGCGCGAGAGCCACTAAAGCGTCTCATATTCATCTCTGCTGCCGCCGCGGGTCTGACAGCTGCAGAGATGTGACAATACGTGTGGCGCGTTGAGGCAAATTCTGCTGATTTGACCGTTTTTATTATATTATTATTATTATTATTATTGTAGTTGTCAGAGGTACACCTCGTAACGTGTTTGACTTCTTTAAAAAATAAATAAATAAAAAGAATTTGTTGCAGATTTGTGTTTGGTCTGTTTAAATAATTCCCCAGGCGGCACACAGCACAAGTTCAAATATCACCAGGGACGGATTCAGAGGCTCGATGGTCTGGACAAGTTTCAACAGACCGTGCGTGTCGGAAAGCGGCCCCGCCCCCAGCTCGCCATGCAGTGACCCCCATGCGAAACAAGTTTATCACGACCTCCAAGGCTTGGACAGGTGATAGATCATTGCTCGGGGGGGGAGGTCAGTGGTGAATCCATCAAAGAGACTTTCATAAAGACGGCTTGATTTGGCCTGCTAGCCCAACAAATGAAATGGTGTTCAGGTCCAGTGAAGCAAACCAGAGTGTGGGTCAAATTGCTTGTCTGCTCGTCTTAATCCCAGTTTATTGGGTGAGTGTTTTGTAAGCAAAAACAGGGAGACGGCTAACTTCAGATATTTATCATATTCTGATAAAAGTGTGTCACTGTGTGCCCATATGTTTTCTTGACCAATGATTGTAATATAAGAGAACTTCTTTGTGTTAAGTGTTTCTGAATACAGTAGTACAGCAGCAAAATGTTTAAAACCAGCTGCTGACATTTCGGTCTACAGATTGTTTTTCCAAGAGCTCTTTTGTTGACAAACTAAACTGTTTACAATTTAATGTGTTAAGTTTTTAGGGCTGGCCCAACAAATTAAATTCAACTGGTTTCAAGAAACCACTGATATTTCCAATTCTTTCTTTCTACCTGTATGTGTTTATGCTCCGATAGTGTCCTGCAGGCGCCTGCGCGCAGTTCTGAACTTTAACAGCAGGAAAGAGTTTTATACTTAAAGCAATTTATTTTAAACATTTTTATCATTTCCCTCTTTTGAACTCTAAATATAAACAAACATCATTACTTTCATGTAAAAACATTTAATTATTATTTTTTTGTTAGTGCTCCCCTTAATGATAATGGCTATTTTTAGAAGTGGCTCTGCGGGCGACTGACAGGGCACCGGGTTGGTGACCCCTGCTCTAGAGCTTTAGAAAGTAGAGGTGTTTTAGTTGGTCCTACCTCAATACAGCTGCTAAAAGTGCAGCACTATAATTTTTAATTCATTGTTAAAATAAAATTGTGAAGGTTTAAAAAAACTCAACCACTAAATATTTTAAAAATACATTTATTTAGTGTAATTTCTTCAGAAAACCTCATGGCCCCCGTCTAGAACCGCCCCTGGCCTGCAGGGGGTGCACTTTTGCTTAGTATGTTTTTTTCTTCATTGATTGGAAGTGAGGTTATCCAAACTGCTAAACACACAGAAATTAATGTAATGTAGAACATATTTATGTATTTACTGTTAATCTGTTAGTATGATTTGTTCTTTAACTGGGCACTTATTTTGGCTAATGCTATTATTTATTAAATATCCAAACTCAACATCCTAAGCAATAATAATAATCAAACAAAAATCACAATAAGAAACTGAATGAAAATGTTCTGCACCATATCAGAGGATGGAGAGATGCTGATTTCTGATTCTTTAGGTTCTGACAGGTCTGCGGTTCTTCTCCTGATCCATTCTGTCTGTTACACAGCAGCAAACTGCGCCATGACGGACACTTTGTTTTGTCTTTATATTTACACAGCATCCATCCTCAGTGAATTGTTCAGCTGATAATGCGCGTCTTTTCACTCACGTCTGTATTTTACATCGTTTTTTCTTCTACGAATATGGAATCAGGCAGAGGACATTTTAAAAAGACGCAGGTTGATAGCAGCTCACTGCGGCTGCGCAATGTCCGTCTCTAGGCAACCGTGACGTTCAGCGTCGGTCCGTGGCGTTCAGGGGTCCTTCAGCTCCCGCCACGACAGTGTAGCTGACCTTAATATTGCCTGTGTTTTATTTTGGCCATTATTGTCAAACGTGGAGTTTATTTTTATTATAGGCGTGTCTATCGGACAGTTATGTGTCGGTTCAATACGGGACGCACATTTAACGGCCAAATACGGGACGACGCTGTATTTTACAGGATGGGTGCTGACGTAAAGTTTTAGGGGTGAGCAAGATACGCCAGTGCTTGACATTAACAAGGAGAGACAGATGAACATTTCCCTGTTCATCCGAGAAATGGTGAACTAAAACTTCCTGGACGTCAGACAACATCCTGGTCTCATTATGTGTCTCTGCTTATTTCCAGGCCCAAATGAGCAACTTCATGTTTAGAAACAAGCCGAAAAAATGCACAACCCGCGACTTAAATAAATAAGCCTAAAATCACTTATAACAATCGGACTTGACAGAAACTCAAAAGAGTTCCTGACTGTCCAGAAACAAAATGCGCATCTCTCTCCTCCCTCCATTGTTTACGTTTCTGTTGCTGCTGACAACTGTTGCATAGAAACGGCGGTCGCTCCCCAAGACGCATAGAGGAAATAACGTTACAAAAGAAAATAGTGACGAACAGTGATTTGGATAAGTAACTTTAATCTGATTACTGCATTTGAAATAGTAACGCATTAGATTACTCGTTACTGAAAGAAGAGGTCGCACAGATCGTCAGAACACTTGATTTGTCGGCCCATTACGTCACAGTGCTGCCTGTATTCTTGTGCTGAGACGTCATAAGTTGTGATGTCACATACTGCTTTGTTGTGTAACACTGGGTATAAATAACTCCAGTTGGTTCAAGACAGTTGTAGAAGAGTGAAGTGCAAGATCAGTTCAGCAACAATGGATTTGAGAAGAGAAATGCGATTTTTAATCAATGTGAACACTATCCCGGCAATAGAAGAATATATTTTTCAAATTCAAGAAGAGGCCTGGTTAGACCTGGACCATTTGTACCAGGACGAGGGAGTGACAGAGAGGACAAGGTACCTGGTCCAATATTTGACAGAGGTTTTCTCCAACTTGGTAAAGGACGTTTCTGAGAACCTGGGCTACGGATATGGCGATCTAAAAGTTATGTTTGGTAGCCAGGTCTCTCAGGCCTTTGCCCGGGCGATGGGAGACGACACGGTCATCCACGCAGAGTGTGCTGCAGTGATCGACATGCTTTTCTTGAAGCATCTCATCACTGCAGCACACTCTCCGGTGGATGACGAAGACCCAGTGTCTCTTCTTCGGCCGGGTTTAGGCCTCAGTTCCTTGGTGCGAGCTGTCATCAGTATCGTCCACGAACTGATGACAGCAAGACGCGCCAAGGGACTGAGGGCGTCCTTAGAGGAGCAGAGCAAGGACACAGTGCGACTTTTTGTTAAGT